ATTTTAAGTAAAATTTGAAATAGAAAGAACAGAGATCTTATAGACATTTTAACTTGAATTAAGTTTTAAAAAGTGCTAATTTAAAAATCAAATCGACGCGTGTAGATTAACAAAGATTTTATACAATTAGAAAGACTGGTATTTTTAAATTTTAACAAGCAGTGTAACAGCTACGTGAGTGATACACACCTGATGATGGCCATTTAGGGCCGAAACATGTAGTGTGGAGGAGGAAAAGAAGTAAAAACTACAATAAAATTTGTTGCACTTAAGACGGTATTTATCCATATATATTGTGTGAGTGTAACAGGATGCTGAAATATAATATTATAAAAACTGGTGCCTAACTGGGCACCATCATATGCACATCATGATTCTAAAAGTTTGATAATGGTCTGGTATTATCATATGGCAATTTTGTGTGGCTCTATCTACTGTCTTCATAAAAATTCTGTGTCAGAAAGTGGACCAATCTCTGTCTATATTCAGGCAGAAAGAAAGGACACCTTAATCTTTCAAGACTGTCTGATAAAGGTATTCACTGCATGAACATAAAAACAACAATCACATAAATATCTATACACAGAAAGAAAATGTAAAAAAATTAGATGAACTGGAAAGATGTCACAATCATTCAGACAGAACATAACAAAAAGAAAAGGATACACAAACAATTGGCCCACATAATGTTCTTAGAACAAGCCATACATCAAGACAACATACACATTTCACATACAAAGGTATCAGTTATATAGAAAAGAAGTTGGTTATTTACATAATCAGCCACAACAGAAGACCTTGCAATGTGTGAATCAATGCCATGACCAGTTGCTGGTAAACCTCTTTCCTCAATCCTCAAATTGAGGACACTCATATACATGTCAGGGATGCAAGGATTTTTTTTTTTTTGCTGAAATGAATATATGTATAAAACTACTTGTAAAACCAAGTCTTATTATTATTATTATTATTATTTTCAGAGGGGGTGGGTTTCCCCATGCACCGCGACTAGTAGTCTATTGTATGTCCCCCTTTAATTTCTACTGTCGCCATACCCTACCGGTACTGGTGCTTGCTATCAGCCCCATTCTGCCAGTGAGGTTGGCCCTCTTCTGGCACTGGTACCCGATGCTTACCCATCTACTGGAGGCATTGGAAACTACTTGGGTGGGAAACTTGCCTAATTTTGCTCAAAGGTCTCCTAGAGACATGAGGATCTTTTACGTGCTGTAAATCTACAACACGGGACCCACAGCTTAAAGTCCCTCCTGGAGGACTTTATCCCTGAATTTTTCTGCCCTTAAAAAATCCACGACCTCCGCTGGGTTTGAACCCATGTACCTTGAGTCATGAGGTGGGAACCTTACCCCTAGACTATGGAGACTATGGAGGCCGCTTAAACCAAATCTTGATTCTAACCATATTTTTTAATGTACTATGGCGTTGCAAATTTTGTGTACTATATTATGTTCACTCTTTCCAATCTTGTTCCTATTGGTCCCATCTGTAGGGAAAGGGTACAAAGAGGTGAATTATGCTATGAAGAAACTTGTCTATATGGTACTTCAGGTTCTCACAGGTGTGTCATGATTATGGTCTTTGGGGATGTGATATGTAATTTGTCAGACTGGTACTTATGTTGTGGAGGAACCTTCTGCCTTAATCTTCAGTAAAATGGGGGTTGCAGATTCCTCCAAAACAATGTTACCCACCTAACTAACTACATGGTGTCACACCCCACAAGACCATAATCTTGACAGTCATCTCTGTGAGAATTTCAGCTCTCAGACAGGATTTAACAACCCAAACACATACAAACCTACACATTGCCAATACCTGAACAACCCAACACTTCACCTCTCAAGAGCCACACACTCATGCTGCATATCATCATATTGCTAAACACTTAGATAACCTACACTACAATTTGTTGATAAGAAATAATGCGTATATATTTGATCATTAGAAAGAAAAATCCTACAACTTCAAACTTCACACCTCTATATTACATCAGACAATGTAAAAAAATGAGCAACACACAATACAGTACGACACACCAGTTATCAAGAAAGTTCACATCAATAAACTTTAATATTTTATTAGTTTTAACTGATTATAAAAATATTGTGATAGACATTTTAAATCTTTTATTCACATATGTAAATTGTAAAATATCCTTTAATATCTGGTATCCCCCTGAAGATTTCATTTATGACTGAAACATGTCATATGATTTTAACTGTACGCATTTAATCAGCACAAGAAAAGGAACTAGATATACTTAGATGATAATAACATGTCTTATTTTAACATATAAATTATACTGGCAAGTTGATCCCTTCAAATTAAGTGAAATAAGCATTCAATAAATTGTGAAATGTGCAAAATTATACACCATTTTCCAGAAGACTCTGCACTAACACCTGATTAATATTATACACATTATACCCAATCACTTCAAAGCTTGGAAAATGTTGGAGGATTACTTTTGGTGGCTTGTGCTACAGCGGCATTCATGAAGTCCTCACTCTGAACCATGGTCATGTTCCAAAGTCGCTGAAATTAAATTAAAAAATAATCAGAAATGAATCTAAAAAAATAAACGAAGACTTCTCAGGTTATTAGCTAATTCAGTACTCAATAAAATTGATGCTTTGGAAGCTGTCATCATCAGGAATAGAAATAGGCTGTGTTATCAACAATGGGAGCCACATGAATTTGAAGTGTGAGAACAATGTTGAGTTTTGAAATTCTGTGAAGATAGGCCTTTGCACTTAGACCTCAGTGGTCCATTGTGCTTCCCCTTTTTAATTATTCCCTCAGCAACCCCACACTTCGGATGAAGCGCAGGATTTTGGACGTGGGGGCATCGACATAGTCACTTGGTTACATAAAGTACTGACCAAAGTGACATAGTCTTAAAGAAGTTAAAGCCTCACATTCACACAGGACATGTGTGGCTGTTTCATTTTCTATCTGACACCTCTCACAAGTGGGACTATCACTTAGTTCCAGTTTGAACAGGTGTCCTTTGAGGTGATAAGTGTCCTGTAAGTAGTCCTACCACCCATCGTAGCTGGTTCCTGTTGAGCTTCAACAGTTCCTTCGCTCTTTTATCAGAAGGTCCTCGTATGAGTCCCTTAGCTTGCCTGAGTCCAGTTAAGGATTCCCAGTATTTCTTATGTTTTATGTTAGTCCAGTCCCTGATTGCCTGTTTGGCAACTTCTAGAGAGATGCCACAGGCTGGTTCAGGTCCTATGAACGGATGTTCAGCTCCAATTTTATGATAGGCCTTTTATAAGCATGAAACTTTAAGTAACATAATTTTTCTAGGGAAAATGGGAATTAACAACACAGAAACCACCATCAATAAGGAGGTTGGTCTAGAAGAAACCACAGAGAAAACTAAGTGTATGCTGCTGTCTCGTCACCAGAATGCAGGGCAAAATCATGACATAAAGATAGGTAACAGATGTTTTGAAAATGTGGCACAGTTCAGATATTTTGGAATGACGGTAACAAATCAAAACCTGATTCAGGAGAAAATTATGAGGACATTGAATTCAAGTGATGTTTGCTACCAGTCAATCCAGAACCTTTTTGTCTTCTCATCTGTTGTCTAAAAACGTAAAAATTAGAATATACAAAAACTATAATTTTGCCTGTGGTTCTGTATGGATGTGAAATTTGGTTTTTAACATTAAGGGAGGAACACAGACTGAGGGTGTTTGAGAACAGGGTGCTGAGGAGAATATTTTGACTGAAGAGTGATGAAGTGACAGGAGGTTGGAGAAAATGCATAATGAGGAGCTTCGTAACTTGTAATCTTTGCAAAATATAATTTGAATGACCAAATCAAGGAGGATCAGATGGACGGGTCATGTAGCACGAATGGGGGCGAAGAGGAATGCAAATAGCATATTAGTGGGAAAGCCAGATGGAAAGAGACTACTGCATACACCAGGGTGTAGGTAGGTGGAAAATATTAAAATAGATCTTAGAGAGAGAGGATAAGTGGTATGCACTGGATTGATCTGGCTTAGGATAGGGACCAGTGGAGGGCTCTTCTTAAAACGGTAATGAACCTTTGGGTTCCATAAAATTCTGGGATGATCTTGAGTAGCTGCACAATTGTTTACAAAAATCGGCTTTGAATTTTTGCTGCATAATCTGATTGTCTAAGCTAATGCACAATCATTATTTTGTACAGGTGAAATTTAATTAGACTTGTTGCTATAAACACATCTTTATTTTTCAGGTTGATTGAACTCTCTTAACATCCCATGTCCTAATGCTGATTATAACTCATGGGCATGGTGAAAAACCAAACAGCTACAGAACAAACCTTCACTCATTGGTAGTTTATAGGTAATTTTAATACTACAAGTATGTCACATAGGATATCATTTGAATTAGGACACAGGCTGGAAATAAGCAGACTGCAGGTAACTGAATGGCATATGGCTACAACCTCACCAATCACACTGAAAAGATTTATCTGAAGTCACTGCAAGGCAGTTACCTGCATCAAGAAGAGTAATAGAAAATTCACCTTGATTTAAATGTTACTGTGTATCTATCTTGGTTATTATTATCACTGCTTTCTTATTTTATGTATCAAGTATATTCCTGCGACCATTTCCCCCCTAAAAAAAAGTAAAGCTATCCCTGTAACATGCCGTGAAGGCCAACTGGGTTGTGAGACGTTGAGGCTCCCACATTATCTAGACAATTGGCTCAAAGATGGCGGTAAGGTTCTTAGCCTTACGTGCCGGCCGCGCTTTACTCCCAGGGAAAATTATTTAATTAATTCCTGGTATCATTTCTGTTAGAGGCTGAGTCGACACCAGGGCCATAGTGCGGCTGGACGGATTAGGTCAATTGAAAAAAATTCAGTTACCTCATCGGGACTTGAACCTGTGACCTTCCGCCATTTCCCCCCTAATAATTTCTGAATCAATTAACACATTCACTCCCAGCAGCTCTGCTTCAGTCTAGCTATTTTTCACACACACACTGGCAGTTTGCAGTATTCTGCTGTAAAGAAATAATTAGCAATCCACAAATATCCAAGAAACTGATAAAGTAGCTATGTACACCAATTAGTATATGAGCTAAAAACTGTGTGCTCAAAGTGTGTTATCAAAGAAAAATATTCTTTTGTCTTGTTATGTTATACCTGACCTTGATCAGATATGTAGTTTGGATAAAACAACAGTAAATGACTACCTTCAACAGACTGGAATGACAGCATAAAGAGATCTGCATCAGAGCTGTATGGAAATCTGTACGTCTTCCTTCAATATTTCAATCTTGAACTGACTGACTGACTGACTTTCATGAAATTTGATATGAATGTTATGCAAATGAAAATCACATCAGCCTCATATATATATATATATAAATGTAAATGTTTGTTTGTTCAGGATCCTAAATCTCCGAAAGTTCTCCACCGACTGCTTCGAAATTTTGACACAACGTTGCATTCGAATGCGCGCGTTTTTATATACCTGTTATATAGATGTCACATCTGTGACAGGTAAAAACATGCTTCTTTTGAAAAACAGAATTGGAATTTGGAATTCAGAAGTCATCCCTATGGAAACGCTAGAACAGACCGTTGCATAGTAAGTAACAATAGCGATACTGTATCGAATCTCCACAGTTACAACGAATACACGGAGCGTTCCCACAGAGACAACGCAATAACAATGGGTCGTTGCGTAGGAATCACGGAATCAACAAAGCAGCGTTTCCGCGGTTATGACAAAGGCCCATTTGCATAGCAGCGGCCTAGGGTATAAAAGGGGGTTGAATTCATTCGCTCAGTCAGTCTTCAAATAGCTGCCGCTGAAGGTTGGAACCTAGATGCCAAGAGATACAGAAGTATTTGCCAAGAGATTGTGTAACCAGTAACTCTAATACTGCAGATGGTGATAATTGTAAAGTGTGCAAGTGAATTACAATAAAGATTCGCTATAATTAATACGGCGTAAAGTTATTTGTAGTGTGACATACCCAAATACGCTACATGCATTACTGACGTGTGCAACACGTCACATCCACATCAAATTCGTTCATTGTTTGCAATCATACTGACCGCCTGCTCTCCTTCATCTCCAAGAGAGTTATGGGAGAAATATAAATTACACATGGCTGAAGATATTTTCCGTCGAATACGCAAGGAAAATTCCAATATGAACACGGATTTCACAGCAGAAATCTGCAACGAAGCATTGATAAAGATTGAAGATTTGTGCTTAGAAATCGCAAACAAAGTTCTCAATCAATTGGGAATGCCATCACCAAACTGATCTGCTGCTGCTTCGTTCAATGTAGAATTGCGTCGTGAACAAAATTACAACACGGGTGATATTTTTTTCATATGTGCAATCAAATATTCCTAAGCTAACGCTTGAGCAAAAAGGCATTTATGATCAAATAATGCAAACTGTCAATAACGGGATTGCAGAATTCTTCTTCTTAGATGCACCAGGAGGAACTGGTAAAACGTTCCTAATTAGATTGATTCTGGCAGCAATTCGATCCCAAAATGACATAGCCTTAGCTCTTGTGTCGTCCGGAATAGCTGCAACATTGCTACCAGGTGGAAGAACTGCTCATTCTGCTTTGAAATTGCCACCGAACATAAGAATTGACGCATCACCCGATTTTCTCCACCAAGTGTGCTTCTTGGATGAGGTGACTTTCCAGGTCAATGGAGTTGTAAACAGGTACAACTGCAGGTTTTGGGGCAGTTAGAATCTACGTGTCACATGTGAGTTGGAGAGAGGCAGCCCGAAAGTGAAAGTGTGGGAACACAGACTGAGGGTGTTTGAGAACAGGGTGTTGGGGAGAATATTTGGACCGGAGAGATGAAGTGACAGGAGGTTGAAGAAAATTGTATAATGAGGAGCTTCATAATTTGTACTCTATGCCAAGTATAATTAGAATATCAAGTCATAGAGGATGAGATGGGAAAGGCATGTAGGACGAATAGGGAGAAGAGGAATGCATATAGGATATTGGTGGGAAAGCCAGAAGGAAAGAGACCACTAGGGAGACCAAGACATAGGTGGGTGGGTAATATTAAAATGGATCTTAGATAGGATGGGATGGTATCGATTGGACTGATATGTGGATAGGGACCAGTGAAGGGCTCTTGTGAACATGGTAACGAATGTTTGGGTTTCATAAATCGCTGGAAAGTCCTTGAGTAGCTACACAATTGGTGGCTTCTCAGGAAGGGCTCAGCTCCATGGAGTTGGTTTAGTCAATTTCCATGTAATTGTATTATATGTAGGGCAGTCAAAAAGTTCCTGGAATTCCCCTGCAGACAGAGAATGAGCGAAAAGATAGCACACAAACTGTTGTGGTGGGAAGCTCAGCATGTCTGCTCACAGGTACAACAGGTTTGGACAGGTTTCAGTGTGCAGTGTCGTAACTGTTCTGTTTAAATTAGACATGAGTGTTGGTCATTTGGCACAATGTTGCAGTTTGAACGTGAGAACATCAAGTTCATGTGCAAATTTGGAAAATCTGCTTCAGAGACCTTATCGGCCCTGCAGCAAGTTTATGGTGATACTGCACTAAAGAAATCCGCAGTTTACGGCTGGTTTTCCCAAGAGACATTAGAGGATGACCAGCGCAGCGGGAGATGTTCGACATCCAGAACCGAAGAAATGATTGGAAGAGTGCAACAGCTGATTCGATGTGATTGAAGAATGACCATCATGAAGTTGGTACTGTTACTGGCCAGTTCTACATGCAAGTTTTGCAGAGGATGCACGATGCGGTTCAGAGGAAGCAGCACGACAGGTGACAGGGACAGTGGTTTTTGCATCACAATAACACAACGAGCCACATAGTGCTTGTTGTGCAGCAATTCCTCGCCAAAAAAAAACATTCCTGTCATCACTCAACCATCATACTCTCTGGATCTCGCTCCGAGTGACTTTTGGCTGTTCCCTACGCTGAAAAAGGGTCTCAAGGGGACAAATTTCGCAACCATGGAGGACATCAAATCGAATGTGATGGCTGAGCTCCAGAAGATTCCAAAAGAAGCCTTCCACCACAGCTTCCAACAATGGCAAGATTGATGGAGCAAATGTGTGCATACGCAAGGGTCCTACTTTGAAGGTGATTAAGTAAGCGTTGCCGTATGTCCTACCATTAGAGTGCTATACCACCATTCCGGGAGCTTTTTGACTGCCACTTGTACGTATCTTAACCACAAGTAATGTGTATCCAGTGAGGGACTTCACATTTTTCAGTTCAGTTAAGCCTATTGTCTTGACAGCGTTCTGTATCTTATACTTTGGCTGATAAATAAAATATGAAATTACAATATCCATACATAAATTCAAAACTGTCAGAAAGACTTACTCTACTTACTCTACTTACTCCTATAGTAACTACTTACTCTGAACAAATTTATTTTTTCAATATCTGTATAGATTCTGGAATGAAAAATTCTACACTACAATTAATATTTTTGGAGTATGTTGAGGGGTACTAGTAGTAAACTGGTTTTCAGTGCAGGGACATTATATGTGGAGCAACTGCTCTTCCACATTCATACAGTACAGTTTCCTCACTGCACACAACACATTCATAACATTCCAAGATTTCAAGATACTTACACATTGTTACATTAACATAATAAGTTCAAGAATGAAGATGAGAATGATGATTTACACAGTACATAAATATAATTGGTTCTTCAAAATTTTACATATTTGCTACAAGCCAGAAGGTCGCGGGTTAGAGTCCTGACGAGGTCATTGGAGTTTTTTCAATTTACCTAATCATTCCGGCGCACTATGGCCCTGGGGTCGACTCAGCCTCTAACAGAAATGAGTACCAGCAATTAATTAAATAATTTTCCTGGGGAGTAAAGGGCAGCCAGCGCGTAAGGCTGATGACCTTACCGCCATCTCTGAGCCAATTGTCTAGATAATGTGGGACCTTCATCTCACAACCCTATGGGCCTTCACGGCCTGTTACAGGGATAGCTTTACTTTTTACTTACTTTTATTTGCTTATAAAAATAACCTACACAAAGTTATCACATTTTGGAAGCAGATGAAGGGGAAGAGGAGCACATTCTTTTCATTATTCATATGGAATACTATTCACTGCTTATATTTTAGTGGATCCTCATTTTGTAAAGCCAAATTTAAAGCAATATTAAGAGTACTATCTTCTGGGGTGTGATGCCGTGTAGTCCAGTAGAAGTGTACCGATGTTCTGGAAAAATGTACTGCCCTAGGGTCAAAGAATAAGCCAAGCAAGCAATCAGCAAGCAGAAGTGAACTTCTATTGCATTACATGGTGTCACTTCCCAGAAGACAGTATTTGTCAGCCTCAGATCCAACAGATCCATAGCGCAACACATCACAATATATTACTACTACTAATATTGCTGCAGTGATTAAAGCAAGAAAGATAAAATGAGTGGTCCAAGTGGCATGCAAGGGGGACACGAGAAATAACTACATGACCTTGACTGAAACACCACTGGGGAGATCTACACATGGGAGATTATTATTAAAATAAAACACAGATAAATAGGATGTTAAGGAGTGTACTAGATTCAAAGTCCTTTAACACACTTATGTGAACTTTTGGGTTCCATAAATGCTGGGAATTTCTTGATAAACTTTCCAAGGAGTGAGTTATTGCTTTATGTACTTACTATATGATCAAGACCTTCTTGAACACTGTGGTCTCTTGAGTATAAAATACTCCTTTTTGCTACCTGGACAGCAACTGGACTTTTGGCTGCGATATCAGTAGCCACTTCTATTGCTCCTTTCAGCATACTAAAACGAAATAATGTATGTACATCTGTGAAGTGTTTCTCAACCTTGGTCCACGGGTAAATGTATGCCAGTTCATCAATTCCTACCTATATTATAAGCCTACTGTATTATATTTATTTTACCACAGCTGAAAAAAAAATACAATTTATTGTTAGTTACTTTAATTTGTATTCTTCTAGACAATAAACAGTTTTTATTGTAAATTACTAATTTTCTTCCAAGTTCCTTCTGTGGCTTTTAATGATGTGCCTAGTTCAGTGGTGAAAATGATTCCTGAGGCTGGTCTCTGCAACCTCAGATATGGGAAGTCATGTTATTAACTCCAGATCCTTGGAGGATAAATACTTATGGCACCTTAACTTACAACCACTTGCACATTACATTTGTTTGCAAATAGCTGATACAGGTAACTGTAGTGTATTTCCAATTTTGATAGAATAAAAGGACATTATTTTCATACTACACTTAAACATGTTTAACATTTATTGACCTAAAGGGAATTCTGTTTCCCAGTATGTGCACTTCTAACCAGCTGAATGGGATCATTTTAAAAACTTGTTATATGTGCAAGAACAGAAGCCTCATTCACTGTGTATGTCTAAGTAAGCTGTCACAGATTTATCTGTACTTGAAATGTCCGCGTCTAAGACATGTTTGTAAGATTTTTCTGATGGGTTGCAAAGGTATCAAAATATTTACAGTTACCTCCAAATGCTATTTTTTCTTTTTTCTAGCATGGAAATATCAAAAGGACACACAAATATCTACAGACACCTCAAAATGCCTTTGCTGATCTCATCACTCCTTTCATACAATCCGTATCTCCTTAGTCCCATTATTTTATGAAGATGCTATCATTAAAAAAAATTAGTACAATAATTCTTCAGAAATACAGTTTAGTGTGGTATAGCCTGAAGCAAGAATTAACACATAACACAACATTTCATTTCATTTCAGACACTTCAACTCTGTTCTTGTTTCTTTGTTTTTCACTGAACACACATAACACCAACTCTGTTTTCATCCCAAAGGCCAATGATTACTGCGCTGCCTGTCACACTGAGTCAGTTGACTCGGGGAAGGGGGACATCTTCCCCATTGGATAGTCTCAGGATGAGGCAACCTTTCTGTCTTACATAACATCCCGGACCAATGCAAACCTGAAATTTTGGTATAATAATTTTGAACCACAAGAGGTGAGGATGTTACTACCATTCAGAAAGATCCAGAAGATGACAAAATAGCTTTTCCATCCATTTCCAAGTTCACCTCTAGTAATGGAGTGTTTGTCATGTGGTCACTTTTATCTGCATACCCTATCCATGTCATAGTGTTGTCTTTGCCTGGTTTCAGAGTGTTTCTAAGTTCATCACAGAAATTACCCTCATGCATATTCATTAACATGTTTATATTTAATTTGCATTTCACTACTCTGGGAATCAGGTCACCTTTCACCCTACTCTTTATGTCACCTCATTTCAATTTTACTTCTTTCCAGAATTCCCAAGCATTCATTTTCAGTTTGTTCTGACAGTACCAGAAAAATTTATGGTCTCAATGTGTAAATCATGCAATATATCACGAAATGGGAGGAAATTGTCCATGTACAGTCTAGGATCTACATTTTCAATCCTTGAAAATCCTGTCACAGCCACATTTGCAGCTGCCACTATAGAAATCATATGTTTCTTGCCTTTGGCTAAATACACAGTGTATGTGCATTCCTGAGAACAACCATTGCTGTTGCACACCATAGCAAGAGCTTTTTCTATACAACAGAATCTACTTCACAAGATTTCACAAGTTAGGGCTCTCTCACACTACGAGACATGAAGAGTACTACCTTCTGGGACATAATGCTGTCTAGTGTACGCTATACAGTACTCTTCGTAGTCACTAGTGTGAAAACCTAAAATCCAACTACAACACATACTGCAATATAACACTGAAAAAGTTAACAAAATTTGCCCCACAAATTGCACATAACATTAGCTCAAAGAGTACTGCAGTATATATTGTTGGTGTATGTGGATAGACATCAAACTATTTAAATGTGTTTATAAACAAGAATAAAGCATAAATGGGCAGATGTACTGAAGACCACAGAACCTGACACCAAATGGGAAATGATACTTAACAGAAACTGCTATTACCTGTCCTTGCCATCATACACTTTACTGACAAAACCACATTCCTTGGCTTCAGAAGCCATCATTTTTCTGGCCGTAAAAACCAGCTCTCGAACTAGACTTTCACTGCCAATCACGCGAGGTAACCTCTGCAAGGTTCCCACATCTGCTGCTAATCCTGTGTAGAAACACAATTATACAACACACAGTACTGTGATCTTCCAAGGAAAGAAATAAATCAACAACAATCTTTTGAATAAATGTAACAAATTATTTTATCAACTATTCACCACAATTTTTTATTTGTTTCATTCTGGTCCGTCACACTAACAATTATAAATACAAACCACTCTGTCCAATGTGATATATAAGTTTTTACTACGTTAAAACTTATCTCCCTTACATGCTTCGGTCCTTACGGGCCATCTTCAGAGGGAACATCATTACGAACTGGAAACTACCGTCACAATAGGTGTTTTGATTTAAAATATATACACTTATATCCTACAATGCACAGTACGCATAAAGTCGAACGTTTCACAATCACAGCAGCTTCCTGGTATTGTAAAGTTTTTAAAAGTTTCTAGATGTTAATTTAAAAAACCATTATTTTCACTAGTTAAAATTTTTTAAACCACGAAGGTCCGTGTCCATACTCCTATCATCGTCCTTGTATGGGGCAGATTTTGTGCCGCCTGCCTATCTTGATGAGGAGGTTCTTGATGTCGTCCAGGGTTTGCTCGTGGCCTGCTGTATTGTTTTCACACAGCAAGCCACAAGCAAACCCTGGACAACATCTAGAAACTTTTAAAAACTTTACAATACCAGGAAGCTGCTGTGATTGTGAAATGTTCGACTTTATGCGTACTGTGCATTGTAGGATATAAGTGTATATATTTTAAATCAAAACACCTATTGTGACGGTAGTTTCCAGTTCGTAATGATGTTCCCTCTGAAGATGGTCAATAATGACCGAAACATGTAAGGGAGATAAGTTTTCATGTAGTAAAAACTTTTATGTCACATTGGACAGAGTGGTTTGTATTTACTCACCACAATATTTCCTTACTATATAATATGGCAGGTACATTTCAGTTATAGCCAGTGCCCATCCCATCACACAGTTTACATGTCAATCACACAGTGAACTCCTGATTACGAGTATCTGCAATAATAAACATTAGAAGTAAGGTGGATAATTAAAAGTAATGGATAATCCCAAACTCTGAAAATACTCACTATGCATGTTACATTTAGCCAGAAAAAAATCACTCAATTATTACTAACTTGTTCACTGAACAATGTGATAATTATCTTTTCAACAGATGATAGCATCCCTTGTTCAGTGGCATCAAGCCTGGGAAAGCTGTTAAATAATAAAATAGTAAGTAATAACATGCTCAGAAGATGTATAGTCTACTGCAAATCAACAGAAGTACCAGTGATACATATTACTTAAGCAGCTGCATAAGGCAACATTCAAACATTACATGAAGCTATAATTAAGAGCTACAAAGTTCTAAAGGGCCACATGGATAACTGGTCTACTGTACTTCAAAATTCCACCAGCAGGTATTCATCTAAAAAACTTGAATATCAACTTGCAGAACATTATTTTTCCTATTGCATCTTTTACAGCACTGAACTATATTGCCACAGATACCATTTTCTGTTATCATAATCTGCCAAAAGTTCCACTTCTACAACTCTATACACCTTCTCCACTGCTGAATGTGCAACAATTGGAAGTGTGTGACAATATTTACCATGTTAGCCCAACTAAAGTATCAGATGAAGTTTCCTTGAAGATAATTTTCTTACAAAAATGGGACTCATCTCCTATTTGCAAATGAAAAAATGCATTTCAGTGATTTCCAGGAAAATATATGTATGATACAGTGCGTTCAGTTAAGGATGAAACTTTGCAACACCGCTGACCAGGCCCAACATTCCTCACAGATTGCTGCTGTAACTGCTGATGGCAGAATGAGTCATTAGCGCTGATAAACACGCGCTAGTACAGTTACAGCAACAATCTGTGAGGAATATTGGGCCTGGTCAATGGTGATGCGAAGTTTCCTCCTTGACTGAACGCCCTGTAGAATTAGCATATATGGACACCCATGTATCCAGAGTAATGTATAAACATCAGAATATTTCAGAGGCAATAATCATTTGATTTCCATTGCAAATAATGTCACAGTCAAATCACTTATTCAGTTTTATATATTTTGAGTCACAGCCCTGCTTTTGATGTTTACTTCATAGAGATGTGAATCCACATGTCCATGTGTCTTTGGTATCACTCAACAAACCAAAATGAAACCTGAAGTACTTCACACACACACACACACATATGCATGCACGCACGCACACAGAGGTTTAGAGTTGCTTGAGAATAGGGCCCATGTTATGTACAAAACAAAATGACAGCTTGGGTGTGCCTGAACAAAGCAAAATGATGCCTTTGAACTTTAAAAAAATGATAAATTTGGAGTGCCTTAAAGTAGAGAAAAGCAATAAAATAACTGACACAGACTGCTCTTGACTCACCCCTTCTTGTATTAAGGCAACTGGTCAGAGTCCCATGAGAATTGAGGGATCGGTATTGGACTGAGAACCTTGAGTAAGAAAGCTCAGAAAGAACCAGTAGTTCCTGCATTCCTAGCACATGGGTGCCTAAGGATAACTTGGAACTGGGGTTTTGATCCTATCTTGAATTCAAGTCCCTCACATTCCTGGGGGACTAAGGTAATGACTTAGGAAGATTAACCATAATATCTGAATAAAACCTATTGTTTAAACCCTAGTTAAGGCACAAAATAAACCATGTGCCAACATGAGCACTAGGAAACATACAAGTTTCATAGAAACATTTTCATGTCTGTATTTCTCTCTTTCTTTTAGAATATACAAAACTATAATTTTGCCTGTGGTTCTGTATGGGTGTGAAACTTGGTCTCTGACATTAAGGGAGGAACATAAACTGAGGGTGTTTGAGAATATTTGAACCGATCAGAGATGAAGTGACAGGAGGTTGAAGAAAAATGCATAATGAGGACCTTAATAATTTGTATTCTTTCCAAATATAATTAGAATGATCAAGTCAAGGAAGATGAGGTGCGCAGGGCATGTAGCACGAATGGGGGAGACGAATGCATTTAGGATATTGGTGGGAAAGTCAGAAGGAAAGAGACCACTGGAAAGACCACGGTGTAGGTGGGTGAACAATATTAAAATGGATTTTAGGGAGACAGGATGGGATGGTATGGATTGGATTGGTCTGGTTCAGGATAGGGACCAGTGGAGGGCTCTTGTGAACATGGTAATGAACCTTCGGGTTCCATAAAATGCTGGAAAAGTCTTGAGTAGCTGCAGAATTGGCGGCTCCTCAAGAGGGGCTCAGCTCCATGAGTAAGTAAGTAAGTCTTTCTTTCAGTAAAGAAACTTTCATATCAGGAAGTGTGGGTGCCTAGAACAAGGCAGCATCACAGAGTGCACACTGTGACTGAACAGAACTGAAGGGCCTGCACAGTCCACATCACAATGCTCTGTCATGAACATGGATCAGAGCCAAGTTTGTACTCAATACTGAACTGCATTCTTCTACCTGAAACCAAAGTTTTAAATATAACTGTTCATTTTAAGAACTAAGCAGTCTTCTGGGATTTGGCACCGTGTATATGTGGTGTTAACCGACGTTTCGGAGGAACGTATCGCCCCCATCTTCAGGGTAGAAGAAAAAGTATAAGAATTCTGCAAGCGACAACACCGTGAGAAACGGTAATACCGTTCTAGCCATCACTCAAGCCAGGCTGGTTCCTTCGCCTCGAAGAAAACGCTGAGATGGNTATATCAACCTCTTTAACCTGGAACCATGCATCATTAGTGCAATATCTTATATCAGCTGCTGTGATTAAGTCCACTGCACCTCCAATACATGCATTATGAACTGCACTTATTACTGGCTTGGGGCACTGAAAGAAGGATGAAATGAAATACCTGTTTAATCAATTTCTTACTGGAAAATTCATTTACTGAGAACATTTCCCACTAAGGAGCAATAATAGAAACATAACAAAACCTCCAAATATTTGACTAGAATTTGTTGACCAGCACAAATTAAACTGTAGGCCAGCAACGGTCCATGGAATACCAGTTGAAAAACACCACTGTTAACCCCGGCATTGCATCTCCTAGTTTGGACAGAAATTGAATATAGGAGGTTTAGGTTGAAACTTGTTAGGATTATTTTATTCTGGTCCACACTGAATAATCAAAATCATACTTCACACACAACAATAAAATATTCTTACATTTCTTTAAAATTTATTGCCTAAAGTGAAACCCTCTGTCTGAGGTATGTATTTCTACAAAGAGAAATGGGAATCTGCCATCCTGTCATGACACAATTTTGTTGTTTTTTTAAATTCACAACAGCAAATATTTGTGTAGGCATCAGATAATTCAGTATATTTATTTATAAAAGAATCATTCACTTCTAGGGGTGATTTAGCTTCCTTATACTCACATGAAGACTGCAAAAATTTTGGAAAACTTACAGTTTCTTAAAGCAGCAATCCTTACTTTGTTGTTCCAAGTGTCAAAATGAGACAAATACTTAATGACACTTCTGAACTCCTCAGCTAATGTCATCAACTCTTTAACAAAACCTATACACCCCTAACCCTCGGTACTTCAATGTATTTTTATTTTAAAAAATCCAATGAAATGATGATAATCACTGTGTGTCTAATATATATCTCTACACATTAAAAAGAAAGTTATAAATTTGTTTATATTTGAATTGTCCACTTCTAAGGGCTAATTACGTCTCCTGATATATCTCTGACTTGCAAAAGATTTGGAAAATTTATAGTTTTCTCCAGGGCGCCATCCTCACTTTGTTGCCCTGCAAGTGTCAAAATAAGAGAGAAATGTCTAATGACACTTTAAGAATGCCTCTGTTTATCTTACGAACTTTTTCATAAAATCCAAAACCCCTTAACCCCAATATTTCATCAAAAATATTTATTACAATTTGCAATAACCACTTAGGTCTAAAATTTTTCTGAGCTACAAATAATATGAGCAATATGTTTATAATTGAATCATCCACTTCGCTTCCTGATGCTACCCTGAACGTTATAAAAATCTTCGGAAAATTTACAGTTTGCTCCAAGCAACCATTCTTTGTTGTCCCATAAAACACCAAAATGAGAAAGGAATTTCCAATGAAGCTTCAAGAATGGATCTGTTTACCTTAGAACCTTTCGTGAAATTCACACCCCTTAAACCTAAGGCTTATTACCAGGAACTATCCAGGCATCCACCTGGATGTTCTAAGGAAAATCATAACAATCCTCAGTCAATGGATTTTGCATCTACCATCTCCAGAAAATATGTCAGAAGTGATACCTATGACTGTTCATTCTTCATCTGTTATGCAACAGCTAAACAGAATGTACTTCAGTGTAATCTAATCATTCGGTATTGCAATTCTTATACTACTGTCAGCCCCTGTGCAGGTTAAGGCTGCACTGGCTATGAATCTCAAATACACACACATTTTAAATTTGACATAAGACATATAGATTAGAGTGAGACAAACCACCTACGAAATAATGTGGGTTAGGACATTTTTATTTTCAATTCACAGCCATTATATGAAATGTCACACAATCACAGCACCGATAAGAGTATTCACGGAATGAAGCTTAATTGCCTGCCAGTACAAGGAATAAGAAAATAATTCTTCCTGCACAGTATGTTACTCAGTGAGTCGCTCAGTGGAATACTGACAAATGGACATGAAATTATAAAACACAAAAACTCACATACAAATTCTCACAATAAAAATATTTATGTCAATCATTTCTGCCAGTTCCTCATTCCAATTATTAATGACAAAACAAAATTAATTGAAGCATATAACACTTTTTGTGGTTTGCTTGCAATGGGGAGGTAACTGCTATTCAACAAGGGCAGCTAGCAAGCGTGGGCAGTATGATTCTGCTACCGTAATTCTACATACAGCTATCATTCACAAATGTTTCTGCAGCAGAATCTGACCAACAATAAACAAAATTTGCTATTTGGAACCCAAATCCACAAGCATCTATAGACACAGAAAGTGACAGGCATAATGCACTAACAATATCATTAAATTATTAAATAAAAAGGTAAAGCGATCCCTACAACTGGCCATGGAGGCCCATAGGGTTGCGAGACATTGAGGCTCCCACAATTTCTAGACAATCGGCTCACTGATGGCAGTGAACCTTATGTGCCAGTCACCCTTTATCCCCAGGAAGATTCCTGGTACTCATTTCTGTTAGAAGCTGAGTCAACCCCAGGGCCATGGTGCAGTTCAGAGGATTAGGTGCTAAATAAAAATTACATTATGATCCAATACATAACTGAGTTTTAAATGTAGAAACTTCCCAGTCCTGAATCAGCAGAAACAAAATTAAGTACTGTATGCTAAAGGTTAATAGTATGGATAAACAATTATAGCAAATAAAAGCCAGATAATAAGTAAGAAAGACTTCAGTATCTGCTGCATTCGCTGCTTCTGAGAAATTACTGGAATGGCAAAAATTAATTTAGCCCACATTTCCTAAACAATTTACTGAATTTAAACAAAACTTGGCACTAATTATCCATCATTAAGGACAAAACACAAAGCAAATATTGGCCATTTACACTGCTTTGAGACTGAATACAATTCCCTACTCCTGTAAACTTTAAAATATAAATTCATCTTCAGCAGAATATTCAAAAGCAGGCAGTTAACTTTAAAAAAATTCAGTAATCACAATCAACTGAAATTACCAAACCTCACTCAACAGCAGTAACATAAATTCTTCCCTCATCCCTTTAATGTCACTTAAGAGAAAATATTTCATAAGTCAGGAAATCCACTTGAATTCTGTACAGAATGATATACTTGCTACCAGATAAATATAGTTGTGAGTGAAGAACAAAACTCCTTGTCCTTTGAAGAGATGTACTCTTGAAAGTAATTTGTTAAAGAAATATTCATAAAAAAATATTAATAAACCTAAATATATATAGCACATATATGCCATATTTATGTGTCTTAGATTCAAACCTTTTACAAGATAAACATACACATCACCTTTTCAAGAGATGTCATTGCATCTTGATATAATTTAATGGTATCATGCAGAATTTTGCATCGCCTTGCGACATCTTCATGCTCACCTAATTTTGTACCCAACTGAGCTGCATCAGCCAGGTCAATGCCTAAAAAGCAACAATGATATAAGTGAATGTTCCCAAACACAGTCATATAAATGTCTGCTAATTTTTTAAACGAAATGGAATTACCAACATTCACTGCACAACTTACATATCCTAATTATTCAATGAACTAATAATAAACTAGTGACAAAATAAGGGACCACAGAAATGGCCAGGGCTGGCAAGCATATTTTTCAGTCATTTCTACACATCATGCAGTCAGCCGAAACATGTAGCAGAGTCAAACTAGGCACTGACCTTAATATTGTTGTGTTGTGACGGTTTTAATAAAGAAATTGTATAACTGAAAATTTCTGTTCCCAGGTGAAGCACCTATTCAACTGGGTCCATTACAAACAGTTAATCTCACTCACCCAACAATCAAAGTCTTTCAACTGCATCTATATATGCACCTAGGATCAGGTTTTGTCAATGGGCGATAATTAAATTTACACAAAAAAAAACTGCAGGTATATCCATGGTGACCTAAAACTACGTCAAAGAAGGAAGCCAAAAATAAATCCATTGAACTAAACCCAAAATCAAACCAGAAACACTGATGCTGAAGGATTCAGGAAGACAGAATGATCATCTATCAACAGTGTCAAAAGAGTGAGTAGGTGTGCAACAGATGAGCGGTTGCAGAGTGGCTAGTCAATGCGTGCAACATTGACAGAGTGCACAGGGCCAACTATAATCTATCACCAGAAAAACTGTATTTCAACCACGTATTTATGAATTCCAACAAATAAAAATCATGAAAAGGATACTAGATTTTCTAAATTTACTATGCAAAGTCCTATGAACACTGCAAGGTACTGAAAGTAATCTAAAAAATAAACATATGTGATAAGAAAAGAATAAATATAGAAAGTTGTTGGTAATCTCTTCAAAATGTTTATGATGAAATCTCATATCCAGAACACTAAAGTTTAATGGCTATAAAGAAATTATTATTTGCTTACTGTTTTGTATACCCACAGATGGAATTCTCTTACCGTAAGGTAAGAAAATAAACCATACACACATGAAACTTCATGATTATACTATTCAATTAATATTAATTCTCTTCGCTGATGATACAAGTATTATTGTCAACAACCCTAATTCTATAAATTTCAAAGAAGACCTTATCTTAGTATTTGATCAAATAAATAAGTGGTTCAGTACCAATCTTCTAGTATTGAATTTTGATAAAACCCAATATATACAATTCAAAACGACTAATACTCCAGAAATTCCGATAAACATCAGTTATAATAATAAATATATTGTCAATTGTATGGAGACTAAATTTTTGGGTATTACTATCGATAGTGTCCTATNCAAAGAAAGATTGAGGTGGGTAGATTTTAAGCAAATAGTTTTGATAAATTTGATTATACTGAAATTGCTCAGAATTAGACACAATGGTGGTATTTTGTATTAGTGAAGCTCCTAATGCCAGAGTGACAGTGCTACTGCTGCTACTTTTACATGGTGTGGATCCTTGGAACAAATACTTAAGTAATAAATACAGCACACATAAATCAAAATGGAAGGATTTTATGAAACAAAACAAATGTATTATCACAAACTAAAACAAGTCTCAAAAAATAGTAACAGATACATACATATATATTCCACATTTCACATGTCCAAAATACAATGGACATGAAACTGGTCACAAGAATAACACAAACAAACAAACAAAGCAAAAAGACAATACAAAGCTAAATAAACACTGTAATAATTATTTACTGTATGCTCCAAAAATTCATCAACTATATAAAATAAGTTATTCATAAGATATAAAAATAAATTATTTTTAAAACCAATTCTATCCTTTCTAAGACTTTGAATGGTCTTTGGCGATTTATTAAATAACCTAATACCAGTCAACATAGTGCCCTTCTGGAAAATACAAAGATTTTAAGTTTGAATATAAATTTGATTTTTGCTTCTACTGTTCTGGCCATGAACCTCTGAACCTGAACAGAAAATATTTTGATTATCTATCACAAACAAACATCAAGGAAAAATATATTCACATGACAATGGTAAAATATCTAATTTCTTCAAAAGACTTCTACATGAGTTTCTGGGTCCCACCCTCAATATGATCCTTATTACTTTCTTTTGTAATTTAAAAACTCTAGAATTATTAGTAGAATTGTCCCAGAAGACTATTCCATAATTACTGATAGAATGAGAGTAGGAAAAATACACCATTCGCAGGGTTTTTAAATTCATAAAATAAGACCAACTCCTAATTACTCGTATAAAAATTGCAGAACTGAGTTTAGGAGGGATGTATTCCACATGACTCTCCCAATTCAATTTATTATCAATTTGTATACCCAAAAATGTTAATACAGGGACTTCATTCATTACCACGTTTCCAAAGGATACTGTCATCAAAGAGATGGCAGACTACAAACAAAGTTGAGTCAGAAAACCTGAACGGAAGAGATTATTTGGTAGTCTTAGCCATATGCTGGAGGTTCATATCAAAATGCATCTTAAAGACTCAGGATGTGAGGATGTGAACTGGATTCATTTGGCTCAAAACAGGATCAAATTGTTGGCTCTTGTGAATATGTAACGAACCTCAGAGTTCATAAAAGATGGGAAATTCCTTGATTAGTTACAGAGTTAGCTGCTGCAAACTGGAAAGCACTACACAACCACATAATCTGAATTTCCAATTATGGCAAGATAATTTATATACTCAAATCTACAGCCAAAATACTTAAAGGAATGACTGTACTTAGACTGATCATTTTCCACTTAGGATACAATGAACTATACCTGGCATTTCCAACCATGGAGTGAGGATCTCTGGGTGCCCATGAAAAGTTTGGGGTTTTAAAATTTTAAGATTCATATTAATTTCTAAGTTAGTCAATGATAATCACAAAACATATGATTATTTCTGCTTTATAAACAGACTCACTGTCAATGCTGACGTGTTCTAAACATTTAGATTCTGCTCAAGTGTCACACTGAGAGGTTTGGGTGTAAAAAATGGTGAAAATGATTTATTACCCATTAGGTATATTTTGTGAGGTAAAGTAAGCCACAACAGTACTTCGATGTCATAAAAACTGATGTAACAATACAAATCTGTTCATAATTTAATTAGCTGAATTCACATCTTTTATCTGAAGTTTTGTACAATATCCTTCATAAATTATAACAATCTCCTAGTTATATTTTATACAAAATGAGTTGGCAATCCATGAACTACAGAGACATAACATCCTAACTCAATTTTCATCAATGCGAAAGGGTGAGACTTGAAGGCACAGGATCAATCAACCAAGACTACACTATGATGTTGAGCCACAATTATAAGCTGAATAGACTTGTAATATGTCATATAAGTGTAACAGACTCACCAGCACTGAACACTTTTCCTGCACCAGACAGTACAATAACTCGACAATCTGGATCATTTCCAAGCTCTGTGAAACACTTTCCAATTTCTCTATGAAGATCAAAGTATCATAATAAGAATTGTATAACACTTGTATGGAGTAAACATAGGGAAAGTGAAAAATTAAAAGCAATTTATTACAAACTTTGACAAAGTAATCACACAGTACATAGTTGGACATAGCATATTTCTTAATGTACAGTACAACCCCTTTTTGATCTAAAAGATTTCCCCATTTTCTGTCTTTAATTTTTTGTGGTCTCAGCTGAAGTCCCACTACCCACAGCTAGTACATGAAAATCCAATTCCATTCAGCATCATGTTTACATGCATGGAAGATCAGGTTCTCTTCCCTACTTTCAGAGATAAATAATGAAGTGAAAGACAGCATTCCTGCCACATTATGCTGCCAGCAAAGGAAATGTGAGAGAAAGTGAAATGCGTTTTAAGGTCATGAGCCATGAATTACGAGGTTGCCTGGACCACCACTAGAGCTATGAATCAGAAACTGTATTCTCCACACAAAACTGTAGCAAAAGTCATTAATTTGACATTCGTTAAGACAGAAAATTTAAGAAAAAAAGAAACGACTTACTGTATAATATTGTGACATGTTGCGCAATTGAGAACCCCCACCCCACCAGCAGTGACGCAGCGGGTGAGTCAGCGCTCCCCCCCCTCCGCACAGTAACGTAACGCGCGGTGACATAAGACAGCGTGAGGTAACAGCGTTGCTACGTAACAGGCACACACAGCCACTATATAAGAGAGCTGCGCTGCCTGCGAGGAGTTGTAATTGAAATGTGGCCATCGCCAAGTTCAGTTTCGAGTTAGTTCCGAGCAAACCTACGAGCGAGTGTGTGATCAACAGTTCTCCAGTCAGCCGACTACAGTTGGAGTATAGCAGCAGTCGCGGTAAGAAGACCCGAACGCGTATTTACAAGCAGTTATGAGTTACGAGTACGAGTTATGGATGCATGTGTGAGAATCAGTGTTAGTTCGTAATAATCGAGTAATAATTGGGAGTGTGTGATACAGTTGGACTTATATAGCTCCCATACTGTGAAAACGTGTTGACTACTGACAATAGAGTGAATTGATTATTGCAAATAGGGTTATAAAGTGTAAAACCCCCCAACACTGTTATAATTAATTGTAGCCAATAATTGTAGGTTGTTGAATAAACCAATTAACAATCTGAACGGTGTCTTCAGTAACAAAACACGTTACAATATGTTTTCAAATATTTAATATTTTTACATGTTTTCTTATAACTATATATTAATTAATTAATATAGAAGATCATATTTTATGTGAAGACATTTTCCTTATGGGGGTGGGGGTTAACTTTTTAATTCATACAAATACAGTATTTGCTGAAAGGGACCTTCAGGTCTGCATGTGGAATAAGTGAGTCCTTTACATATTCACGGTAGTTCTACAAGTAATTTGGGCTTCATGTATATTTCTTAGTGAATTTTTCTTTGTGTTGAAATGTGTGAGAGACATGCATTTAACTGTGTAAATACTGTACACACATTAAAGATCTAATGCTAAAATAAAGACATCGGCACAAATAGGCAAACATTGACTGTAAGCAGCAACTGCTATATAAGGCATATCACCTGGTATTTTCTGTTGTTTTTAGGCTCAAGAAACATATATTTGCTCATTTTTTTTTTGTTAGATTAAAGCAAACTAACAGTGGGGTGTCATTTTCTGCTTGAATTCTATACAACCTCCCATTCAAGACTGTTTTATTTAAGATACATAAATCTCATCCCCAAGGTAAACCTTAAACCAGAATTTTAACGTAATCATCTTTCTCTTGAAAACATTTATTCCAGCAGTCCATGAACACCCCAGTTCTATCGTAACAATTCACATTGTTCAGGCTGAAGCAAATTTTGCATTGCTAACTTCACTTCCTCATCATCAGAGACCCTGCAGTGCTTCCTTATGTGGCCCAAAGAGACAAAATCAGAGCGCACTAAGTCAATACTGTGTGGTCGATATTCAACAACTTCAAATGTCATGTTGTCAACAGTTTCAATAGTGTATAGGTGCAAGAGGATGAGCAGTAACTTTGATCAGAACAATACAATTTAACAGCAGTTTGAGGAATCTTGACTGATTTCTCAGCTTCAATCTATTACACACCTTGCTGCTGTTTTGAACATTAAAGAATGACGTTACTTTCTGAAAATGAACCGGGACAGGAACAGACAAACTCCGGCAAACCACCAATATCAATTCTGTATTTGAGGTTCTCATAGTGCTGACTATGAAGTGCATGTGATGTCACACAATTTAAAGAGCGCCAAATGTTTCAGAGGAACATAATGTCTCTCTCTCTTAAGGTTTGAAGTGAGCTGCGCCATAGCTCAAGCAGTTATTCACTGGCTTTCCACCGCAGGGGCCCGGGTTCAAACCCGGGTCTGGTCAAGTGGGATTTGTGGTGGACAAAGTGGCGCTGGGGCGGATTTTCTCCAAGTACTTCGGTTTCCCCTCCCAATCTTCATTCCACCAACTGCTCCACAATCACCCTCACCTATCGTCTGGGGCTGGTACAATAGGCCAGAAGTGGCCACAGTACAAGGGACTTAGTCCCACCCCACTAGCAATAAAAAAATAATTGCAGATTTTGATATCAGTAATATTGAAACCATGAAGAAATTAATGTTTGTTATAAAAGCTCATGCAGCATCTAAATCAAACCACAATTCTTCTTTTTATTAGTAGTGACTACATTAAACCAATTTCTGTACCACAAAGTTCTCTCTGTGTTTTACTACATTTTGGATCAAATTCTCAAATGCAGGAAGTTTACATGAAGTACAAAGGAAAACTGAACTTTTTTTAAACCAATATTCACCTGAGCTGGGTGATCAAGACTCTACTGTGCTTTATAAACTCATGAACTATAACTTTACCTGTTGTTTTGTACAGATACAAAACTTGATCTCTCAACCTAAGAGAAGAACATAGATTGATGGTTTTGAGAATAGACTGCTGAAGAGAATATCTTAAACTATAAGCTGGGAACTAACAGAGGATGGAGACAACTGCTTAATGAGCAGTTCCACAAATTATACTCTTCAGCAAATAACATTACAGCCATCAAATCTAACAGAGTAGGGCATGTAGCATGCATGAAAGGAATGATAAATGTGTATGAGATTTTAGTAGAAGAAGCTGAAGGGGAAGGACTACTTGGGAAACCCAGGCATACTACAAAGATGGGAAGAAAATACAGGGTGGGGCATATTAACCTTTCTGATTTCACATGGTCATTGTTGAGGCTAGGGAGGGGGGTAGAGTGGTGGGGATGGTATCGTTAGACGCGTTAGAGTGTGCAGTTTTCAGTACACACAATGGCTTGGTCAGGAGAACATCGTGCATTCATGCTGGAAGAGTTTATTAAAAACTGCGGTTCTGTGATCAAAACCCAGCGAGCCTTTTGCACTCACTTTGCTCTCGGTCGGCGTGATCCCCTTCCCATTAGACCAACAATCAGAAATTGGGCATCAGATCTTCTGCATTAAAAAGAAAATCTTCAGCCCGGACCAGGACTTCAACGTCAGCGACAAATGTGGCTAGAGTGCGGGCTTCAATTTTGTAATCCCCCAAGCGTTCTGCATGGAAGCACGCCACTGCACTTGGATTATCTGCCCATAGTGTTAGAAGAATCCTTCATAGAGATCTCAAAATGCATCCATACAAGATGCACATAGTGCAAGAGTTAAGTGAAAGAGACTTTGAAACACGAAGAAATTTGTGCAATGACATTCTGCAGAGTATCCCTTCCACAGCAGTTTTGATCTGTAGTGACAAGGCCCATTTTCACCTGTCCGGGACTGTAAATAAACAAAATTTCCGCTACTGGGCTGAGAATAACCATCGGAACCTTCACCAACGAACATTCCACAGCTCTCAAGTGACGGTTTGGTGTGCTGTTTCCAATTGTGGTGTCTGGGATCCCTACTTCTTCGAAAGATGGTGAAGTCGTTACAGTGACTTCTGCTTGATATTGTTACATGCTTGAAAATATTCTTCTACTGAAATTGGATGAATTACTGCAAGATCATGACCTGGAAGATATCTGGTTCCAACAAGATGGCGTTACAGCCCATACCTCGCGTCATTCAATGGAGATTCTAAGATAAATGTTTCCTGGTCATCTTGTCTCTTTGCGGGGTGACATCAGGTGGCTCCCAGATCGCCTGATCTAACACCATGCGATTTTTTTCTGTGGGGATACCTCAAGGCAAAGGTGTACACACATCATCCCCAAACTATCGATGAACTGAAGGCTGCCATCACCGAAGAAATCAATGCTATTCCACAGAATATGACTCGTAGAGTCATGGAAAACTTCCAAAACAGGCTCCGTCAGTGTATGGAAAACAGAGGTGGCCATTTGGAAGATATTATTTTTAAACCCCATTAAAATGTCCTTTCAAATAAAATAATTTTGCCTGCATCTTTCTTTATTTCTATTCCACGCATTTTTGAAATCGGGAAGGTTTAAATGCCCCATCCTGTATTAAAATAGATCAAGACATAAGTTGTGAGGATGTGGACTTGAATCATCTTATTCAAGAGGGGGACTAGGGCAGGCCCTTGTGAACTTCCAATTCCATAAAATGCAAGGAATTTCTATACTACCTAAGTGACTTTTTCTTCTCAAATAGGGTTCTAATTCATGGAATTAGTTATGAATTTAAATGTTTACTTACATCCACATAGTGTTATGCATTGCATTTAATTTCTTAGGTCTGTTAAGTTCAACATGGTAAACAAATGGATTTGGCACAGTAACATTTAGTGCCTCAAACTGTGTCCTCTGTTCTTCTGCAGCTGTAGTTATCATGGCTACCTGACACAGCCCTTGTTTCTCTGAAATTTTAAACAAAGACTGTAATGGGAATGTAAATGAACACTATTTGTGCCCAGTGATTTCAACAATGTAACAGACATACTGACATTTTAATGTATTAAGTAGATTCTAAAGGGTTCTGATGATTGTGTATATCACTGAGGATTACATGGTTTTTGTATTTTATCCATAGTCCGGTATTCTAAAAAAAAACATAAAAGAACACAACGTTTCAGAAACTGTATCTGTTTCCGTCCTCAGGTGAAAGGTTGGAGACACCTACTCTGTTGGGTCTGTTAGAAAGATCTAATTTCAATCACTGAATCCAGTAACTGAAGTTAGCTCTTTCTAACAGACCCAACAGAGTAGATGTCTCCCATCCCACAAGTGAGGATGGAAACAGATACAGTTTCCAAAATGTTTCTTTTGTGTTTTTTTAGAATACCAGATGACGGACAAAGTCTGAAGACCCTGTACTTCTTAATGTATTCCAGTTGATATCCTGTAATATATGACACTGTTCCAGTGTAACTGCCCACATTGGCAATTACATGTTTTTATTTTGTTACACGTGTTGACAATCATTTAATTCGTTATAATACTGTACACTACCTAAGGGACTTTCTCCATACATTTTTTTAAAAGAAACTGTATTGAAATTATCTACTTCTTAGATCAGACATTTTTAACAAACTATTTCCCAACAGTTTCTAATCCTCTATATGCATATTTAGTAAACCCCTTACATGACAACAGGACACCTCAATCTCTTTATTCTATTAACTGACATACAAAAGTTAGTGCTCTGCAAGAAACAAACATTGAATTATTCTTACTTTCAGTGCAATTGCAGGTTCTGGAAATGAAGAGTTGTAACACGTGTCTTTTCTATTATTTATTGCCAATGATGTCACATGAAAATGAGTCTTATAAATTTTGAACACATCACCTTATATATTAAAACATACGTATGATACAGACTGCTCTATGAATATCTTCACATGTTCTTCTTGTAACCAACAGGAGGGAAGAAAGTGAGGTAGAAAAAATAATGTTATATTATTGAGGACTGTTGTGGCTTTGACATAACCTGCATAAAACGTGCAGAATCTGTTATGCACAATGACTGTATGAAACAGTATTTCCTCGAATTCACTTTGTTTTCCACCTTTGGAAGAACTTCAAAGTGGAAAGGAGATTCATATTTTTAGTGTGCATGGGCAGTCACACACACTCACACACTATATCCCCCATTATACAGATGTCCACAGGTGAGATAACATAACTTTATCTGTGTAAACATGCTCCCTGATTTTAAGCGTGTTATCTGAGTGTGTCTTTAAAGTATTTGATTTCACCTAGGTCCAAATTGTTTTATGGATAACAGTCTTTCTAGTACTTGTTCTAAATTAGTAAGCTATCATCAGCACATAATGGCAGCTTATTTGTTCATCTGTATCAACTAATTTTTGCCTGTGGGATGTTCAAATGGGACTAACGCAACAAACTAGTTCCTCATTACCTTTCACCCATTTACTAAACACAATGCTGTTAAACGGGATGACCGCTGTAGCATATACAGTGCATGACACTAGTCTTGAAAACAGCTGTGCAGGCTAGGGACATGAAGCAGGAAGAGAAATGCAAATGGCCTAAGCTGCAAGTGGTCTCATATGTGTGCTATGTGATGCTTTTACAGCACATCTCAGGCCAGTTTCAACATATACCTCATGTACTGTAATCTAGTAAAAAGAAAAGTAAAGCTATCCCTATAACAGGCCATGGAGGCCTATAGGGTTGTGAAACAATGCTCCCACACTTTCTAGACAATCAGCTCACACATGGCAGTGAGGCTGTCAGTCTTATGCAGCAGCTGTCCTTTAACACAGGGAAGATATCAAACCAAATTTCCCAGATTTTCCCCATATACTTCAGGAAATATCCAAGTATGTTGGTATATTATACTCTTGTAAACTACACTGTGTACAGTATTTAATGTGCGACCATGTATTTGTAAAACAATTCAAGTGATCAAAATTAAGTCTTTTTTCATAAAACTGCTTACGTTTTGTTGCTAATGCAATTTCTGCTGCTCTCCTCAAGAAGACTGAGTACATAGTAAACAACCACAACAAAATATTTGCATACAAGTTCCTTTATTTCTCTTCTGTTCACTTCCGCAACTGGAAAAAGAAAAATAAAATATACCAAATGTGCCATTTCATATGCAGCCAGAAGAATGAAAATCTATTTGAGCTTGGGTTCATGCTCCATTTGTGTGCCTCCACAAATGTGAATGATTTCACACGCCCAAGCCCAAATGGCACCATCAACCAGAGCCTTAGCTGGAGATTTTGCCACTGAAGCATTACTTCATTCCAAGAAGGGCTCACCACAGTGCACTCAACGGAGTACCTTAAGCTACGGAACAAATTATTCTATACACAGCAAGCATCAACTATCTCAAGCATTTGTGCAGTATAAGTGGGAACCCCAGCTCCAAGCATGAACAACCTTAGCACACTTTCAAATATAGTCAGAAAAAAGGTTTCACTTTATAATCACATATAACATGAAGAATATTAATACATCTGTGGGCAGCTGCCAGGCATTTATATTCCATGGTTAAACAGACGTTTAAACTGGATAAATAAATGTTTGTATGGCACTGATGTCAAAAATCAACGCATATTTCAATTTTCCAAAACTTCCATTCTAATCAACATATGAAATTAATACATTCTGATTGATAAATCGAGCAGGATCTGGCCACTCTGGAGACCAACTTATACATTAAAATGAATTTTAAAGAAATTAGTTGAAAAGATGTGAAATGGGGCAAATGTCTATGGATACAGTCCAAAGGAAGTTGTAATGGTGATGGTGAGAAAAAGAAATTGGGATTTATAATGGCATTTCACGATATACTTAACAACTTACTGCTGAAGGAAGACCTTAAAATGTAAAATTATATTTTCTATACTATGTCAATTTGTACTACCAAAATGACATTAGCTTTCAGCCTAAGCTGATTACAGTACACATTTATCATTAAAACTATGGCGGTAACCACGTGCACTTTTTGCTTTAACGTTAAATAACACAATAGTTAGTATGCAGAGTTTCTTTGGGGCTTGTTTGGATTTAGAAACAAGCGGTGACAGTCTCCTTAAACATCATTAACTGCCTAATCTTTGTAACGGGTATGGGGTGTGTACCCTGGAAAGAATGAGCCAACTATAAAATATTACTTCCACAGCTTCACTTTATATTATTCTTAACTCAGATCTTCTCTTACGGTTGTTGAGGTTTCAGAGTATCGAATTAACCTCACAAAATTTTTAATTCTTTACATTCACGACGTCTAACTTCAACGAACAACAATGATAGAGCACATTACAAATTACATCATCATGATACACTACACACACTACAGCACCAAAGCCAAAGAGCACGGCTATGGATACACACGTACCAACGATACGAACCTAACGTGACGTGGGACCCGTAGGACGTATGAACAACGTTGATGCTACTATGGTTTAGCAAAAATAATATTGGACTCGCAACGCTACTGCCGTAGCGTGCTTGAAAGTTTAAAATACTTTAAAGCAGACACTTGTTTCTGAAATTTGTAACTGTGAAAGTACTCTTGATAATTTTGCTCTCTACGGATGAGTACACGCAAAGTATTTGTTGTTCAATCTAAACCATCTAAACACCACCACTAAGCACCACGACATGAAGACGTATGGGGTAAAAATATAAAGTTATCCATGTGCTTAGCTAATTAAGGACTAGGCCGTGAAGGCGTATGGGGGAGTGGATGTATAGATCCACATTTTCTTGACCTAGGCACTAGCTGGAGGTGAGTGGTCAGCTTCACGCCCCTGTCCCTTTACTCCTATAGGAAAAGTCCCCGTTACCCATTTAATAGGTGGCTGGGTAACCCCCACAGCTGTTCTGGACAACAGAGGGAAGAGAACATTATTGACCTTACAAGGACTTGAACTCCGACTCCTTTGTCGCCCAGCCTGTAGTCAGTCATTATACTGATACACTATCCCAGCACCATAAGCTGGTTAATTCTATTTGGAATAAGGAAGACTTGCCTGATCAGTGGAAGGAATCTATTATTTTACCAGTTCACAAGAAGGGTGATAAAATGACTGTAGTAATTATCAGGGGATAGCCCTGATGTCAACTTCATACAAAATTTTACTCAATATCCTTCTCTCAAGGCTAAGTCTATATATAGATGAATCTACTGTGGATCATCAGATACTGGAGAGAAAATGGGAGTACAATAATAGAGTACATCAGCTATTCATAGACTTCAAAAAAGCCTGTACTTCAGTTAGGAGAGAGGAGAGGTATTGTACAACATTCTCATAGAGTTTTGGATACCCATGAAATTAGTCAGGCTGATTGAAATGTGTTTAAACAAAACTTATAGTATTATTATTTATTTTATATCCATATAGGTAAATATTTGTTTGATAATTTTCCTGTCCAGAATGGTCTAAAATGAGAAGATGCTTCATTCCCACTGCTTTTCAACTTTGCTTTAGAATATGCCATTAGGTAGATCTAGGAAAACCAGGTGGATCTGAAATAAAATGGGGCACATCAGCTGCTGCTCTGTGCTGATGATGTGAATCTACGGGGTGATACCATAGATAGCATAAAGAAAAACGTGCTAAAAAGGATGTTGGTCTAGAAGTAACGCAGAGAAAACTAAATATATGTTGCTGTCTTACCACCAGAATGTAGAGGAAAATCCTGACATAAAGAGAGCTACCAGATGTTTTGAAAATGTGGCACAATTCAAATATTTGAGACTGACAGTAACAAATCAAAATTTGATTTGGGAGGAAATTAAGAGGAGGCTGAATTCACATAATGTTTGCTACAATTCAGTTCAGAAGCTTTTGTCTTCTTGTCTGCTATCTAAAAACTTAAAAATTAGAATATACAAAACTATAAATTTGCCTGTGGACCTGTATTTGTGTGAAACTTGGTCTCTGACATTAAGGGAGGAACATAGACTGAGGGTATTTGAGAATAGGGTGTTGAGGAGAATATTTGGACCAAAGAGAGATGAAGTGACAGGAGTTTGAAGAAAAATGCACAATGAGGAGCTTCATAACTTGTACTCTTCGACAAGTGTAATTAGTATGATCAAGTTAAGGAGGATGGAATTCGCAGGACATGTAGTGTGAATGGGGGAAAAGAGGAATGCAACTCTGATATTGGGGGCAAGCCAGATGGAAAGAAACCACTAGGAGGACCAAGATGTAGGTGGGTGGACAAGAATAAAATGGATCTTAGATAGGATGGGGTGGTATAATAATACTGAATCAATATTATTATTGATATATTTTAAATTCAATTATTTCTTGTTGTCATACTTTATAAACTAGCCGTTGCTCTGTCAATCATGAATTACTAATTGTATTCACTGTAAACATTTTTTGCTTCTTTCATTTACTAGTGATAACTTTGATTTATTAATGGAATTATTATTATTCATATTCTACCAATGTTTTTTTTTAATTCTGTTTTGTTTATTTTCATTGCTTGTGCCCACTTTCTAATTGGCCTTTAGGCTGTTAAATATGCATGTACGTAAATAAATAAAAATTGAACAGAGTGGAATAGAATCCTTTGTGCTTTTTTATAAAAAGGTAGGCTAGGGTACTTGAAAATGTATTTGAAAAGTACCTCTCCAACCCTTCTCCTTACTGAGAACTCTCCCCACAAACCATTTTTAATTAATGCTGTGATAAACTTTTATAATCATGTTGAAACAAGTAATACTGATTGATGAAAAAAAAAAAATGAAATCAAGTCATTTTTATATGCATATTTTTAATTTGATTTTAAAGAATTGATACATGAAAACATACTAACTTGAATTTTATAGAAGATTCCAAATTTTTCCATTAAGTTCTCTAATGAAATATCCTGACTTCATACCTTTATGTTGATGTCTATGGCTGAACGAAGTTTTTGGAGGTTCTCATATATTGTATGGATGAACCATAGGAGTGGGGGACCACTCCTACAACACCTGGATATTTCAGGCTATTAATTTTGATGAAGGTGTGAGAAAGTTCATTCATTTCTAATGGGGAGAGGGAGGAATTCTTGTCACATGGGTCATGCGCTCCAAGCCCGATATCTATTTGGTGTTTAAAAAATGGGTTAGAGGCTTTAAGAGGGTAGAGTACTCAGTTAAATGAGCAAAAAATTCCAGCCAACATATTAAGAAATTAATACCTGCTGAGACATGGATGAGTCATTGTCTGGGTGGGCACCTTAATTTATCACCTCTTTAGGACCCTTGTCTCACCTAACAGACTACCAGGTGTAGTGTACCATCATTTTTTGTGACTGATTTACCGGTAATTTAGGAACATGTGCTGCTTTATCAACTACAATACATGTGGTTCATGCATGAGAGGGTATTACCTCATTTTCTCAATGCTGTCAGACAGAACCTGAACTAGACTCTCAGTGAATAGTGGATAGGACACAGAAGCCCAGCCAACTGGCCTATGGATTTTGGCCATGGGGACACCTGAAGACTTTGGCGTATTAACTGCTAATCATTGAGTTAGGGGTATTTTAGCAATGAGTAGAGAATGTCTGTCAGGAGATTTGTGTGAAACTAGGAATTTTCAACAGAGTGAGCACTACTGTTACTCATGACAACAGTATCAGTTTGTTTTGAAACCTAATTTGATTAGATACTATTACTTTGTGTTCTAAAGTGCATACATCACATATCAGTTATAATTATTGGCCAAGGGGATATTTACAGAGCCAGTTCAAGAAAAGCATAAAAGAACAGCAGAAATAATGGAAGTTCATCTGCATTATATTAATAGAATTAGACAAGAGAGAAAAATACATGCCTGCCTTCCATTCTCCCGCTAATGAATGGCAACGCCAAGTGAAGCCACTTTGCATATCTAATTGTCCATTATGGTCATCTATTGCACATAAAACCTACTGTCATAGGGCTGATTTCATAATTCCGCCTTTGCTGCACAGCCTAAACTGCAATTATAAATTATTTCTCCTTCTATTTTATTGTTTAACACACTTAAAAATGTATTAAAGCTGCAGATAACAAGAAGCATATTATGCCATGTGCCAATTCTCTGTGCAATAAGTCATTTTTCAGATATGATTTAAAATTAAGTTTGCTAGACAACATTTATTATTGACTCCAAATACTGAATTTAATCAAAACTTGGTCAGTAATTTTGGAGATGAAACATGGAGTGAGTTGTTTCTATAGGTGCACAAAGTGAATTTCCAGAATAGGAGAAATGATTTTGCATGCTGAACCAAGTCTTTATTATCTGATTGTGCTCTATGTATATATGCCTTTGTAATTTTTCTTCATTTATATAACACAAATAATGTTTTCAATATATTTAAATCATTGTTCATTGTTCACTCTTTTGCAAACCACGGTAAAAAGTTGCATATTCTGAAGCTTTGATAAGAAGTAAAACTGTTGCTAANCTATTTTTAACACACAATAATAGTAGTCATTAAACATAATGTTGTTCAATCCTACTGTTTTGCAAACCACGGTAAGAAGTTGCATATTCTGAAGCTTTGATAAGAAGTAAAACTGTTGCTAAATAACGGCTGAAATATGAACATGCTGCTCTTTTTTTTAAAGTCCCAGTTTAAACACTATACATCCCTGCATCATCTAACCGCAGGACTATAGTGATTTTCCAACAGGACTGGCTTGGCAGCACAGGAAGAACCAAGTAGCCATCTGAGGTAGCACAATTTACAACCCCCATCTTTCATATCTTGTGAAATCTTGATAAGCAATTTCTGCTTTTGTTCTTCATATTATGACTATTAATTTACAGCTGTGTTTTGCAACAGTGTAAATAAAGCTATTTACAAGTATAGATCAGAGATTGTTTTTACCAACTGGCATACTGGAATTTACATGCTGATGGCTGTAAATTATGTGACTAGATTAGCACTGTGCTTTCAAAAAATTCAAGTTATCTGAGTATTGAAGAAATGGTTGATTGCATGGTGACCATCTATCTTTGTCTTATTACACCTCATCAAACTCCTCAGTGGACTTTGGAATATGTAATTCATCACCTGAAAACGTTTGCCTTGTTCCTTGTCTCTTGATTCCTTGAAGTTACTTGCAGAACAAAAGCAAAAGTGCTTGGTTTGTTTAATGATGGTTTCAATTACTCATACCTTGACAAGTGAGTCAGTGGTTAGTGAATAAAGAATGTGGAAGGATGTGGGAGGAAGTGGCCAAGGCCTAAGTTAAGGTACCATCCAATTTTCTTGGATAGAGGGAAACCACCAGAACCTCACTCAGGATTATTGTTGTCCAGGCCAAGAATTAATTGCTTGGTGTACAGTCAGGGTCAGCAACAC